GACACCTCAGAAAAGGAGCTTTTGCCGAAGGCGCCGAAGATTTTTGGCGCTGGTACATCCGACTTCGCGATTCTTCGTGACCTCGTGACGATCTCCTCAATCCACTCTATTTAACGTACCCTTTTCTAACTACAGACACTGCTTCGGTACTTGTTTTCTAAAATTGTTTAAATTCTGCAAAAAAAACAAAAAGTGTGTTACCACAATTGATTATAAATTAAAAAAAGTAATGAAAATAATCATCAATCACAAAAATGATATACATAGTGCATATATAATTTCCTTTCAAAATAAATAGTAATAGCTCAAAAAGTACAACAAATTTAAATTTCCAAAAATATTATATTAAAATCAAAATCTATGGTACTCTTTTTTAACGTAAATTCTTTAATTTATAATTCACTTAGAAAATGAATTATAAATCAATGATTTGCATTACTTTGTTAAGTGTTATAAAATCTCAGATGAAAAACATAAATGTTATTTATGAGTAATAAGTTATGTTTGTATATATATATATATATATATTTATCATATTTTAAAGTAAAATGTAGTTTTAAATACTTTTGAATTAAAACTTATATCTAATAATTTTGAAAGATTTTTTAAAAAATATAATAATAATTAAACCACAATATTATTTAAATTTGGATCTTTATCTTGATCATAATCATGAAGAGAGATTTATGTACACCAAATTACTTAAATTGTGTCCATATATTCAAAAATTTTGTAATATGTATTACTAGTCCCCATCAAATCTTCTTTAAATTGACAAATAAAAACTCATTCATTGTTGTTGGTTTTAGCAAGGAATATTTATTAATTATAATATTCATTGCATTTGAGAATGTTTGATTCTGATTTGAAATTGGATGCAAGATTTCACAAAATTAAATGCCCCAGTAGACACATTATGATAAATGTGTAGTTTTTTTTGTGTTTCCATCACAAGAGAATATTGAATGTAATAGTGATATCCGGATTCATTGCAAATGTTGATTTCACTGTTGCAATTTTTATTTTTTTTGGAGAATTACGTTTGCTGCTAATTGGTTCACATAACAAATCATCAACCATGAATCATTTCTTGTTTGCAACACTCATGTGCAGAGTTGTTTTAACAAGTATTTTCAATATCTCTTTGACTCTGGATTCAAATGGTCGGAGATCAATCACGCAAAAAATGATAGTTGCAAATGTCATTTTCTCTTATCATGTGTAGCGAGAATAATCTTTGTTGCAAATACGATCATTGCTCTTTTCTCTTATCTTTCAATTCTTAATCATTTATGATTACTCATGTTGCAAAGATCCCTAGATATAACACTAAAATCAAACCACTAAAAATTTTTTCAAGGAATTATCTTATATGCATAGGAGAAGTTTTGGATAAGTTTGATTAAATCTTTAAATTCATATTTAGATTATATTTAATTTAAAATAATGATTTTATATTGATGTAAAGTTTGAATTTGGTTTGCATTGAAGTAAATTTGGTTTGACACAATTACAATAAATCAAAAGCCATAATGAAGTAAAAATATCAAATACTAAAGAAAAAAAGTAGTAGATAATTCTCCAATCAAACTCCTAAATAGAAATTTTTGAAGTAATTTTGTAAACATAAAATAAATTATGAATAAATTTAATGAATAGTTTAAACTCAGTTCAAGATTATATTAAATTTATCAACTTTTCATGGATGACACATTCTATTTTTTACACAAAAATTCTATCTTCCAAATTACTTTTTTACATCATCATTTCAAATTCGATAAAAAAATTGGATAAATTAAAAATATATTTTCTTGATATTAATTTATCAAGAGTATTTTCTTGACTAAGACACGATGCGAAAATTATTTCAAGTAGTCAGGACGAGCAGAATAGATGGCGCGCCGGCTAAACCCAGAAGCGAGCAAGGGAGCGGATGCAACTGAGCTGCTATCGGTCGTTGCTTATTAATTTTCGGGTTTAGTAGAACCCGAAAACCCGAACAAGATCGGAGCCCTATACCCGCGTCCATCATTGCCTGGGCATCCATCCAATACAATATCCTCGATCTGGTAGGAAGCTATTTCAGAGCCAACCGAGTTAGTACACACATCATGAGCGTCAGCTCTCTTGGTAGGGCAACCAACCATTTCCATACTATGTTGTTTAGACATTTATATAGTACAAAATCATAATTGTTTGAGTTTCCGGCTTTTATTTTCTATATCTTATTTGGCCATTTATTTCCATTCTTCAGAGATGGATAGATGTACAGACTCTGCTTCAAGCTACGACAGTCTCGGCCTCTGAGACCAATCTGGTTTGACTTTGGCACGAGGACCGGGTTCACACGCGCAGGCGACAATCCCATGGGGACAGCAGCAACGGAATCTGATATTCCACGGATCTCGTACCTGTGCTCTTGTTGGAACAGTTCGTTGCCGGGGTTCGCGTTTGTTGAAAGTCTGAACCAAAGGTATTGCACTGAGAAGATCAGCAGACGCATTTGGAAGTGTTCTTCCGCCGCCACCTGCTCGTCGTCCCCAGGCATTTGGGAAAAATAACATGTGATCTCACGACCGAAGACGCAAACCGATGTTGACTGGATAGTTGGTCGATCGGAGTGTTCTGACAGTGTGTTGTGCATCAGACGACCAGCTACTGAACTGCGGTCAACTTGAATGGAGGAGTTGACTGAGCTCCTCATCACACTCGTGCCCAGGCCCCATGTGTGTGTGTATATAAATGGAGTCAGCCTCAGTCATGCTCATCAATCACATCTTTCAGAACAGCAGAGTTTGAAACAACGACAAGCTTTCTTAAGACTCATACACATCGCTCTTGAAAGCTTCGAGTGGTTGAGCTTTCGTTCTCTTCAAGTGCTCTCATTCGTTTTAGCTCAGGTCCGATCAGCATCTAGTGTTAGATTTCAACATGGCCAGCTACAATGATGTCTTCGGGGACGATGACAGTCCCTCATGGCTCACAGCAACAAAGGAAACTGATTATGAGGCCGATTCCTTCCTCGGTGTCACAGGAACGAGAGGATTGCTCCCATTCGATGCCCGCGTCATGCAATTTTCGCAATCTTCGCAGTGTTCCTGTGCACAGGCCACCTTTGCTTTGTGGCAAGGGTCAGCACTGCAGAGAAGTGGCTGAGGACCATCCCCAGAGTGCGTTTTTCTGCAAACGCAATGGACCAACTGGATCAGCGCTGCAAGCATGAATGGAACATTGAACAATGTTGGCTTCTGCGGAAGTAACCCAGTGGAGTGGAGTGGAGTGGAATGGAGTGGACAGGGGCTTTCAAAGCATTCAAAACGGACTCAATCTAGCCTGACCATGCCAAAGTACATCAATTGCTCCAACGTCATCAGCACTGTGCTGCTATGGATATCGATTCTAGGTGAGAATGTGGAAATCAAGATCCAGAAAATGGCTCTTCAGCGAAGAGGCAAGTGATCATAGATGCGCAATTTAGCACAGGCTATAATTGCCGGATACACCTCCCTGCGACCAGGAGAGGCACTGCAATCCTCCACACGTTGAAGACTACGACTGCCGACACCCGAATGAGCAATGAATTCACAGGAAAGTAGTTAATGTCGATCGACTATTGCTGCAAGAAGTGACTTGAGTGAAGCTTCGAAGACCCACACACCTGTGATACGGGCAGACTTGTCAACTCTCTGCTCACTCAGAGCAAGAATTCTACTTCATTTTGACGTAGATCAGATTGGAATTTAACACTTAATCCTTTGCTTCCTTCAATGTGACAGAGCAATCCTTCTCAGCTACATAACCTGGACTTTAACAGTGAAACTTTAGAATTGTAGGTAGAAAGCCCGGATGTGGGCAACACACATTTTAATCTCATGGAGCTAGAATACAAGGCTGATTTGCATATCGCATCGAACGGCTGCTCCTTGACTAATACATTCTTTATAGCTTTAGAAAGAGCTCCCTGATTTGGGCTACGATTTGTTTTTATGTGAACAAGAGTAACCTCTAGGCTTCAGTCGCATATTGCATCCTACCTCTGGTCCTTGACTCGAGAGGTCTGGACAATATCTTCAATGGTCTAGAGTCTACCGTTTGTAATATAATAGTGAAGTTTTGAAACACTGAAACAGTATACTTCCTGTTTGATTTTATACATTGCATGATACGTGGAGCGCATGTGGTAACATACAATACGTTCTAAATTTTTCCAACAACCGGATGCACTCCTGAGTCAAGTAGAAGTATAGCCAGATAATAGGAACGATCATTACGATGGACAAGCATACCCATATGTTATTGCTTCGGTGCGTTTTTAGTTCAAGATATGTGCTAGAGTTCTTTGTGCAAAGCGATTCAATGTTTCGGATACCTTTTACATTCGAAATTGTAGAAAATTAACGAAGAGAGATGTTTTCATTCAGTCAGTTGATTATCTCTATCTGACGATTACAGCAACAAATACCACAGCGCTAGAAGTTCATATTCTACTGCAATCGGAATGATGCTACATTAAGTGAGTGGTTTCAAACAGAATACGAAAGTTCCCCGTCCTATGGAATTTTATCACATAATATCATTTGGAATGATTAACTGAGTTTTGTATGCAAGTGATCATGTGATATTAAGTTATGAAAAGGAATGAATGAATGAATGATGATGAACATGAATTCTCGGTTAGCCTCCTGCATTTGACAATCTGGTATGAGCACCAATATATATCGATATATCGATATATCAAACTTAGCTACTGAGGCCCTTAAAGACTAGTAAGAAAGAAACTATTTGTGAGGGTCCATATAACCAGTAGGATTTCATCAAGAACTATTTTTCGACAATTTTGACCATAGATTCAAACCGTTGATGTTCGTGTTCTTTACTTGCAGGAGATTCAAAGAAATCTTAGCAGTGATCCAGATGCTCAGAACTTGTGGCTCTGCATAGTGAGATTGCTAAGATTTCTCTGGTCACCTTGCTTGATTAAGTTTCATTGGTAAACAGTGTCTGGAATATCGCAGTCTCTCACGACAGTGGTATGCCAGGATAAAAACGTAGATCACAGACAGGATAAAAACTGTACAAAATCTACTAAATCGAAACAAAAAACTGAATTCTGTGAAATTGCAGTTTTCAGGTAACATGAACCAACGAACAAGTTCAGCTCTCTGCTATATGCAACTTGAAGTCCACGAAATCTCAAACCATCCCCCTGGTTGAATGAAAATTTCTTTGTGATGGTAATAACTTTGCCCGGAATAGGTTTTACTTCTCCCTGCATATATCTCCAATTCTAGTCCTTGCAATCTATGATGCCTCCAGCAGCGATCTGGAAGACGTTTGCTTGTCAAGGAAGGCAAAAATAATGGAAGAAGATAATTGAATAATGTAAGAGACAACAGGCTAATTGCTGGTCTAAGCTCGCATGGGTTAGGTTCAGGCAGAAAAAAATCTGGAGATTTTGTGTGGATATAGCCTCGGATTCTGGCAGATTGGGAGCGTCAAAGACCTTGCAGATTCTTTGCTCCCCTTTGCCTTTCCTGAGTGAAAGTCTTACGGTCGCAGCATGAGCAAGTACATGTCCGCCTGCTGGTTTCTTAGGATCCGCCATGAATGTTCCGCCTCCAGGATCAGCGATGACTGTCATAGGAGATTTAGAACAAACGACTTAGTAACTGTGCTGATCGAGACTTTAATATGCAAGTAAATCAAAGCGCTCAATTCTGAAGACCTAACAAACTAGTGCAATCATGTAGATGTTGATCAGTGCAAGAAATGAATTATACACGGTGCTTGATTCGATATATACTTCGGAAATACTTCACCTTGATTGGTCACGTATACGGCCACGTTAAACTCTTCAGCGATTTTGATAAGTCTTGATAACATTTGGGCAAGTTTTTGCTGCGCAAGGTGCCCAGAAGCAAAGAAGTTCATTTCCTATTCCCTTTGAAAAGTTCATATAACCAACTACTTGAAGGTAATTCCATCTTTAAACCCTGCTTAGGGTTTGTAGATACACCAACCACCAATAGACTCAAATGAAGAGCGTAATTTGCCTTCGCGAATGGCTAGTTTGAGCAACACGAGTTGACTGCTTCGGAAGGGACTGAACCTGGCGTTCCGCAAGCTCCCCTCTGCCAGAAAAGTCCACCCTAAAGAGCGCAATGATCGAGTCTACAATCTGTAATAAGACAGCAAAATCAGTATCGTTACCTTGTCCTGTACTCAATGCTTGAATGGATCTAGAACTAGAGTATTACACGTACCAGAATTTTGAAAGGCTCTTCAGACATCTTCGCGGCAATAGCAAGAAGCAAATTGTATTGATGCTCATATGTAAATGCACGAGCATATACGATCTGAGAAAGTTTCGCACGCTCAGTAGTGAAGGACGCATGTTCATGAAGTCATTGACATCCCGAGAAAAACACAATTCAGCAGATCTTGTCTACCAGTTACATGTACTATCAGGGAAGAAGAGATGACGTGCATTTCTGTACGTATATTAAGCCATTCAAAACAGATAATCATCCAAATTGTGGTTCAATCAACGGGAGTGGTAGAAATGGAACGGTATGGACTCTCACGTTGTCGAGTACAGCGTTGGGGTCCATTCCGAAACGTTCTGCGATCGGGATCACTCGATCCGGCCGACTTACTCAGAGTTAAGTTTGCACACTGAACAACGTTATAGAAGACTGCACAAGTCTAAAAACAGGCGAGACCTAGCAATCGGATAAATGTATGGATACAATGTGCCTTCGGTGTCTATGTAAGCAACTTTTCCATTGCCTCCTCCCATGCAAATGGGAAGCTGTAAGATAATCCAGAATGTTATATCAGTAAATTCTCAACAAGTCACATTGACTGCGCTCTCTTATATGTGAGAAACTGAATCTGAATACTCAACTTGAGTCAATCCAACGCATAAAGTAGGAAACACAAGGCCTCTAGATGGAGTGATTCTCATTGTTGAACATGGCATGGTCTGTTTTAATTTGCGCAATATGCTTATGAATTTCACCGATTTTGCTAAAAGCACCTGTGTGGATACGCAGAGGGTGTGTGCAATCTGCGTCTTTCCTGTCCTGCACTCAGCAGGAAGTTATGATGCGTTAGTGACGGAAGTCTCATAATTCTAATCCGTTCACTTCCAACATGATTTAAATTTGAGGGCGTTTTCATATTATTTGCTGAGATCGTAGTGGATATTGATATGCTTTGTGAGAGACTCTTCCTTCAAAATTTATTTAAACTTTCAATTATGGTACCTGAATTCTCCAAAAGCTTCTGTGATGCACATGGTCTCGATGCCACCTTCATGATGAACACCATGTTCAGATATCAATATTCGAAAAAGATGCGCTAGAAAGTGTTGATTGTTAGTGATGGTCATTGTTAACGAACGGGAGGCTTGCATCCAGCTTGACTGCTTTAGATCAATACAATGTTAATGTGACGTCTCGAGCCTCCCAAGTCTACATCGATTTAGTAAGAGAAGGGTGTTTGAATATTCCATTACCGCCTAGAAGCTCATCCAATGCCTGACAGCCCGTAGTTATGTGTACCACCGTCTTACGCTGGACCAAAATCTCTTCGTTAGATGATTTACCTTGAAAATGAATGATTCAAAATATTCGGCGAACATAACGGTCAAGAAAATTTCATATCAAGCATTCTCCATGAAATCCCAGATCAAAACGTTGAACATCCCCTTGAGATTCTTCTGTGATCTTACTTTGTTAAGAATATCATTCCCCGTTACAAATCCGATGCTCTGTTGCAGGACAGATGGATAAGTAAGTAGAAACATGGATCTGGAATCACGCGTAAATACTTCGTGAGGGTACATTTCTGTCTATCCTACAGTTGCATAGAGTTGCCTACTGCTTGAAAGCACTCTGCATTAAAGAGTGTGCCAGGAGCTGGGGTTATAGAAAGAACCAACCACAATGCTTCTGCTGTAGGGTTTTGTCATTTTCTTACCACGAGTTTATCTGCTGCTTCGAGGATCTTTTCAATCTTGTTTTCTGACAAGCCTTTGATGCTGGTGAGGCTCTGTTCAGAACCAACGGTGTCAGAACATGTATCGAAAGCACCATACGCTTGAAGCGTCGGTTTCGCAATGCATAAACTCTTGCAATCACTTTGAGACGAGGAAAGACCTTTCGTGTGTGCATGATTAACCCATTGCAGGTGTAAATGCCTGCATCTTGGAGTTTTTTTATGTCTCCAGCATTAACTCCAAGCGCAGTAACTGTTAAAGGAACGGATGGATAGGACCAGTTATTTCACTCTTCAGTCGTAGAGCATGCTATGAGCTATATTTAATAGACGAAAACAGTAAATGCAGAAAATTTTGCTACCACTCTTAGGCAGATTCTTAACATTAATGGATTCAAAAAATTATTTTGTTTGTAAAAGCTAACGTTTTTCTATGGATTCAAAAGAGTCTTCTTCCTCCTCCACGTCGGCTTGCGGCTGCTCTTCCCTGAAATGCACATTGAGATTGATTAAGTGACCCATGAGCACAGGAACACCTGAAAGGCTTTGTGTGCATCCAAGACGAGAAGTCTGATCCTCAAGTGCAAGCTCCATCAAATTTTCATACAGTTCCACAAACGCGAAGATCATCACTTGCTTTCAATTCTTTCCAACGATCTATAACCACAAACTTGAAAGAGACAAAGCATGCCAGCTTACACCACTTCCGCCATCGTTTGAGTAGCCGATCTTTGACTTGCACGCTGACTCGCACGCTCTCTGGTCGTCCTGTAAAAGATGTTCAAATTGTCAACGATGAGTTCAGATTTACGAATTTTTGAAGTCCAGCCAGTAAAGACGAGAAAACAGCAGCAATCTTAACAACTACAGAGATGCAGGCAGATTCAAAGACGAGGCCATTCATATGAAAGTAGTACATGCATTCCAAGAAACTCCCAGTTTCCACATGCTACTCATTCAGTTCCTTCAGTTGTGTTTACACAAGCACAAACTGCGATCAGAGCAGGCAATACATGATTCTTGGCTCGGAGAGGTGATCCACGGAATGGAAGCTTCGAGGTTCCAGGAAGCACGAAGAACACAAATACAAGAAACCGAGGCTCCGACTCGAAGAAAAGGTTATTTGAATTTTCGAAATGGTACATGACGAGAAGAGAGCCGCGGCTGCCGGGCTACGCGCTGTTTTTCGACTTTCGGGAATCGCTGGCATCGAACGTGTATTAGTGCTTGAAATTGCTGTGGTCATCAACATTACTGCGTGAGCTCATTTGGCTGAGTCGATCTCCACAGTATCAGTAGTTAGCGCGACTTCGCTCCAACGTGGTTGCAGTCGCCTTGTGACAATGCTGCGATGTGCCATCCACGTGTGAAGGTAATATGTTTCAATAAAACTCAAACATAAAGCAAATAATGAGAATGCCCATCAAGGTAATATATGAATGAAATTACGAAGTGGATAAATCCCAATGGAATCACATTGATAACCGTTCTTCCATAATCTCTAGATGAATCAATCTACGTATTAAATGAGTTTTCTCAAGAATCACCATCTTACATAGATGTTTCAATAAATAAATAATATTTGATTAAATATTGCAGCATCAATTGCTCGGTGTCTAATCATAGAACAACACAACCTAATATAGGACCTTAAATGTTCTCTAACGGGTAGTGCCAATAAGTTGAATACAATATAAAATCAAGAAAATGAAAATATAATTGAAGTTAAATAATACACAATAAGAGACATGATGTACTACAACTGGCTTTTATGAAGCTATGAAGGAATAACAATCATAACTAATACAGTAAGAAAATTGGCACATTATCAATCTTGTGTTTTGTGTAACATGAATACTTACTACTCCTGAAACGTTTACAAGTGTCAAGAGCAATTTTTAATCGTCAAAATATTAAAATATTTTGAAATATAAAACATAAAATATGAAACATACAATTATTGTATTTGATAATAAAACTCTTTCAAAGTGTCTACAAACAATAGATGAAAACGCAATTAGCGAAATAATTTATTCCTATATATGAAATTTAGTTCAAATATCATGAATATGAATCTTTTATAAATCAATGAAATTGAATAAGTATTTCCATATATAAATCCAATTATTCAACCATTTTTCTGCTTAAAATCACTCAAATTATTTAAAAAATTCCCATGTAAACTTGCAATGTATGAATACTGAAGTTTTGTGTTCAACAAGTAAGGATAAATATTTGAACTACAAATTGCAAATGAAGATGAGCAATATCCATTTTCTTTAAATATCAAATTCAGTAATAAGAAATTTATATGATAAAGTAAATTATCAATGAGTTATAAAAAAATACTTCATGTATAAAGTGGATACATTCTCTTAGAAATTTCGTAATATTTCAATTAGTAGAGCAAAGTAGATGATATTATGACATGAGACATTGCAAAGATGAAATCATAATAAATATGTGCAACCAAATCTCAAAGATCTCAAAATACTACTGCATATCTGATTTAGTTTGATTTGATTTTTAATCATGTATTTTGATTTTGATATATTTTATTTAAATATTTAATGAATTTTAATTTTACATCTTTTATGTAGATTATTTATTAGAAAATAAATATATACTTATATCTTATTTTATAGATTAATCTCAAAGTTAAGGTATTAAATTCTATATTTGGAAAAATTTGAATGAATAAATCAATCAAAACTAGTTATCCATCTAATAAAACTATGTAAGAATAAAATTTTTAAATTCAATATTAAAAAAATAAACTAAAACCTAAATTTTATGTATATATATATGGGGTAAAATACACGGCTAGATGTAATTCCTCGGAGATTCTGCTCTTTTGAGGCCGGTTCTCCCATAGCATTGGGTTTTGTCCATAAGTAATTTGTGACCGTAGAGGATCTAAAGATAAACTGTGGGGAGGAAGTGTGGCACACATACTTAACTTCTGTAATCTGATTTTGAAATTGTGGCAGCTAACATTCCAAAGCCAATGAATGGTCGTCTAGCTATGGAGGAGCTAAATTTCTACACCAGCACCTTAGTTGCGCATATTGTTTGAAGTGTTCAAATGAGCTAGTGTATGTAAATGATTGCTCAAATGGACTCGGAGGAACAATCCCTGTGTCTTTTGGTTCATGTCTTCATATGCAGGTATTGCATTGGAGTTCATATATATCATCCGTTGATTCACAACTGGAGTTGGGGAAGTAAAAAACTCTCGGGTCTTCCCACAATCAACCAAATCAGTGATTTAATCCCAATCTTAAAAAAAATTCCAGACATAGAATGCGGATGCTAAGTTGGATCAAAGTGGCTGCTTTCCTACATCCGTGGGAAAATTCGGTAGGATGACTGGTTTCGGTGGATGAAAGTTTTTGATGTATGCAGGAGTCTTTTTAGATCTGGTGAGATTACATTGAGGTTATTAAGCTCATGAGTATTCATAAGCAGTTAATTCAATATTCGAGCTCACCCTCTTCGGATAAAAAAATCAGTCCAATCACATAGTAAGTGAAGAATGTTAAAACCGATCTGGATCGTAACGCTGCAAGAGAGTTCGCAAGAGATTTCACAAATTTGAAGCAGTCACATCTATTCAAATTTATCTAGTGACTCTAACAATCCTCATTTTGGTGTGCCCTGATGCACGATGTCAGTCTGAAAGTTTGAAAGAGGACTTGCTCAGCGCTTGTCAGGAAGTTATGGAGCTCCAAGCAACGAACCCACTCTGGTCATATCTCAAGTTTCAGTTTCCAAGGTGCCAGCCTAAGAAACGAAGGAAGACTTTGATAAGATATTCCTTCGTTTGACAGATGTATGACAGATGACAGATGTATAGGCGTATAAAACTCCCTGTAAGTTACATCTTCTTGACCTGTGTTTTCTAATCAGCGTACCAGCCATTTGAAAACTGGCACTTCCATCATATGTATCTAAATACCCGATCAGGGTATCGTGGATTTAAGACTATGAAATGGACACAATTGTTGTCAAAACTGGAGTTAGCCTCGAAAAATACTCTTCACGTCATGCGTGTATTGTGAACAAATAATGCAATGTTTTCATCTTTTAAGTTACATCAATCAAAATTTAGAATCTTAGGTAACCTCAGTTGCTTGAAAATCCTTTCATGTCCATTGCCAAACTGGGTCAGAAAGGGGAGGAAATAACTTTACCAATCCAGGATGTCATGCATTCCCCTCACCGCGAGCATATTCTATTGGCAGTCAGATTTTTCCCTTCCTGCTTCCGCTGCTTTCCATTTCTCTTCCCATAAATCCAAGTCTCTGTAACATCCAAATCATCACTGTGAGTTCGTTCCCAGCATCATCCATCATTTTAAACCACACCGTCTCTGAACCGCAATTTTTTATGTATTGCACATTCTAGCCTGCAATTCGGACTGAGTTGAAACACTCTTGCTGGTGTCCATTTCAGCTTCAGATCTTGGCTTCAATTTCGATTCCTGCAGCCCAGCGATGGGGAAATTGAACAGAATGGCTTAGCTCTATTGGAAGGGAGTGCCTGTAGGGCCCTGGCGATTGCCAACGTAAGGCCGAGGGTCCACTCACGGACCTTCGGCCTTACGTTATATATTTTATGGCTAGTTACGAAGCAACAAGTTTAGTCAAATTAGCTAAATATGCGTCATTTCGCGAAGGTGTCATTAACGATGACGATTCCAGAGTATTAATTATCTATATTTATCTACAAATTTTCGGAATCTAGTCATATTAGCGAAATTTAGTCATTTAGCAGTGCTTCCATCATAATACCGAGGAGAAGCTAGCACCCATGGACCCTCACGGGCCAAACGACTACAAACAAATGAAAGGCCTAATATACCTCCTTCACGCTTAAATGATGGAAGTTCTTCACGCTTATATAGCTTAATTATCTTACAGAACCAGTGAGAAGCCAAAGCTTAACGTCATGGCATAATTCTGTATAAGAACTACCCCAATAGTTATTATATCAAGTGCAAAAGAAGCTTGAGAAAGCTCTATCGATATGACCATAAAAAAATTTCACAAGGTATTCTCCGACGAACGAAGCTCTCATAGCATTGTACATTTCACACTGAGTTCCTCGGTCTTAGTCAAAATGATTTACACTCCGAGCCATGTGCTGCACTCACAAAAAAACTTTCAGTGATATACTGGAGGAAGGTGGGGATGACGTCAAGTCCGCATGGTTCTTATGGGCTGGGTTAGACACGTGCTACAATGGAAATTGCAATTGCAATTGAAAGCAATGCTGTAAGGTGAAGCTCCAATCCAGGATGATGGACTAATTTCGGATTGTTCTTTGCAACTCGAAAGCAGGAAGTTGGAATCGCTAGTAATCGCGGATTAGCATGCCGCGGAGTACTCGGGCCCGGTACAAACTGCCCGTCAAACCATCTAAAATGGTATCTACATAAGGTTCGAGAGGTGTTTCAACACTTCCAACCTCCGAAATATCCCCAGTTTTACTGGTTGAGGCAACATCCTTCACGCTGTTTCTTTCTTATGTCCAGTGGAAACATATGTGATTTGAATGAAGATACAAACGCCGCATCAGTATCAAGCCATCTTTTCCTATCTACTAAATCTAGAAGTATATACGTAATGCAGGACACCAGCGCAACCTGTAAACAATAACAAGTTCGCACCTTTGCTTTCGCAATAACTCTTAGGCAGAGTTATTGTTTTTACAGAGTTTAGGGTGGGTTTAGAGGTTCAGGAGAAATAATTTAGACCGTCGTGGGTTCAGCAGGAATAGGTAATTTAATAACGAAGCTGCCATCTCTAATGGTGCTTGGAAAGATTACCTTTCTCCAGGGCTGACACTATTTGGTTGAGTTTCGGGTTCCACGTCAAGTGCAATAGGTGCGAATAAAGACACAACTCATATTTTTGTTACTACAAACAAGGTCACAAATCACGGTGTAATTTTACATTGTGAGGTCATAGTGTGATCTTTTACATCACCAAAAGCTGAAAGATTATGTCATGTGAGATTCTTTCCATCTTAGCTAATTCAAAAGTGGTGAGATTACAAATAGAATTGTTGAAATCTATTATTATACTTGAGATGGTGAAAAATATAAACTGTGCTAAATTTCAATCATTCTACTACATTTGGCATTGCAAATCGAATCTAAGTCAACGGGTTTATTGAGACTTTGAATAAATTTCATTTTGATAATGAAAAATTTGTTGATCTAACTAGAGCAAAGAAATTTACTTTTTCTTTTCAGATATTAGTAATTTTACCAAAATAAAATTATTTTGTAATCTTGCACTTAATGATTAAAAAACTAAATTACTTTGAATAGGTCTTTTGTGCTATATAATCATAAAATTCATAAATTTTTCAAATCAAAGAATTTATATCTTCTGTAATTAACTGTTTATTGCTGATAATGAATTAGTCAATAATATTTCATTATTATCAATATTTATTATTAAGAGTGTTTATAAAATTTTAAAAAATTTTAAAAAAATACTTTCATATGAATATACAACATCTTAACTTTTTAATTTCAATTATTGAAGAATGAAAGTTTTTTAAATCATGCTATTTACATGAAAAAATATATTTCATAATCTTTCAACAAAATAGGATTTAAAAAATGTGACAAAGCAACGGTTTTGCTCAAAACTTATGTTTCAAGAAAAAATTGCATGCAGTTGCCTCATGGATCAGATTTCCTTTGTGATTAATTAACAAATGATTCATCAATGCATTTCATATTCTAAATTTCCAACAATTCTAAATGATCATAAAAATAAGATTTTTTTTATAATAAATCTGTATATCGAGATTAATTTTTTTTTCCAAATCTCACGTTTAATTAATCATTTTTTTACATCTTGATGTAGCCCTTTTTACTAGTTCCATTCGATGTTGACTGAATCATCATTTGATGACTTTTTTCCTACTTTATAATGCTATTAGCTGTAAGTATTTGATTTCAAAGTGCTAATTTTTTATGTTATTCTACTTTCTTTTCATGCTCAATTTCTCTAAATAACTGAAATGAATTGATTTTTTTCTCACTTTGTCTTTGAAGTATAATATCATAATACATACTCAAAAGTATGATTTTTTTATTGTAATAAGTCTAATGCATTGAAATCGAAATTTATAAATATCACTTATGATGTTTAACAGTACAGCATGATCTATACTCTGTTTATATTATGTGGCAAAAAAATTAAAATGCGAGCTGTATCAATTTAATGATATTTTTTCAAAGTTTTCAAATGATGAATTTGTATGCAGAAATTGAAAATATTTCTACTTGTTTTTGGCATCTTGTATCATCATTATCTAAAATACACTTCTCACTTACCTTACCTTAAAATATAGACCAATGAAAAGAATAGTAACCGCTTAACTAGTCAATCATTGGAGAATATTTTGTGCTTAGATGTTCATACAGTATCCTGGGTTTTGTATCTGCAGACCATGCAAGCAAATCACAATTACATGCACCTCCATCCATGATGAGCCTTGCAATCTCTTGCTTGTGAAAGCAAAAAGGATCTTGGTAATCTCGATCCATGGTTATAAGGATGTCTTTAGTAGCATCTACAGAATTCATTCCTTTTCAAAATGCTTTCTACCAATATTTCTCTAGCGCATCGCACTTAGCAAAAGAAACTATGGACACCTGAAAACCAAGTTGTCTAAATTTGCTAGTTCTTTCACGCTAACCTCTTGCAATCTTCAGGTCGTTCTTGCAGGTCTTGGATCTTTCTCGCAAAAATTAGCTTTAACATCGTGGTAATTCTACGATGTTGAAGCTAAATTTTCTTGTCATTTGTCATTTGAAGCCATTTGTCTTTTCCGATTCCGTCTCCTCCATGGCCTTTTACTTCTATAGGTAGTCCAATACTTAGGTCAATAACATAATATTTTATGCATGATACCTCTCATATTTTTAGCCGCTTCATTCATCGATTGAAGTGAGTTCATGTTTCAGTTTTTCTTAAGGACTCCGAACCTCGGTGTAATAATCATCCAACTCACTAAAATCCATAAGGAAAAGTTTTCACGCCTTCATAATCTTCTAAGTTGATAGACAACATTTGTTTGGGTGTTACTATTCACTTCTCAAATAACTTCCTAAGGTCTATTCAGCTTATCATAATCTTAAATGACAGAGATTAGGCTAATTTTGGCTCAATGTTTGAGTTTTCAATGATCCATTCCAGCTAAATTGTTGCTCGTTCATGTTGATGAACCTAGCGCTGCCATTTTATTTTTTTTTCTCTCTTTTATTGTCAGAAATAAAGAAGATAAACTGACACGACGAAATTGAGAAGGCAAAAAATATGCTAATCTTTTGTTACCTCTAATCAAGGAGGTCTGGATCTATTTGAGAGAAAATTTATTTTCCCTATAAAAGATCGAGGTTCAGTTAGGGCCGAAAGTGTAGAATTTAGTTTTACACTATTTTTTGTACAAATTAAAATAAAAGAATTGGAATGTGAACGACCTCTATAGATTTTAAAAGACTTCGTGCTAGATTTTACTAAGGCATCAGCACGTCCATGCATATAAACATATTCACCAACAGAAAGAAACACAGATGACTCCTTTCTCTTCTGCGCATTAGCTGCACATTGAGACCAAAGATACTTTCCCGTATAATATGAACTTGACTGTCGTAAGTGTACCAACAGACTTTTAGGTGCTTATCATCAACTATATACTGTGGTTTTTTGTGTGAGTCTGTAAACAACCAGCCATCTTGATGAGCAAAAAATGTTACATAGTAAATCCACAGAAGCTGACACATCATATAGAACACCGCATATTCTGCAGAAGCTACTTCTTCGTTATGTACTGGTCTTATGTATATAAATATATGTATATACATAAAAGCTTGACATTCGCCAAGTTTTCTATAATGCATGTTGTTTCATGATCACACATTATCAATTGATAGAGATTATTGACGTTGGAATATTTTGGAATTCCAATTTTAAGATCATCAAATGGTGCTCATCACATGAAACTCAAATGCTTTTGAATTTCCACGATGAGAAAGACAGTCTTGAGACATGGTTTGAAACATGACGGGGTCTTCGCAATCTCATCTCATGTTCCATAATGAAAATGATTTAAAACTTTTTGTAACTCAAGAAAGAAAGCTCGTTCTGTGATGACAACCTCGAAACTGAGTGTAACCGTTAACGGTTCGAGACGAGACTCTGTTCTCGACTCCATTCTTTAGACTCTGTTACAATATTACTCGATAACTATAACACAGAAGGTTGAGTTCCCTGCGAAACAATTTCCTCAACTCATCACCTGTCTGAGAGACACCTTCTGGAGGTTCAGGGTTCGACCGGGTGAGATTAACTGCAGAACTTAGTGGCTACAGAGTATAATGACTGAGTAAATATACATAAAAATCGGTGAATATTGCGGGTTAGGCAACAGCACGTGAAACATACTCCAATACATAGTATTAGAGTTAACATGAATGAATCGGGTAGTCTCTATACCAGTTGAATAGATTACCACAGATGAGGGTAAGGTACAAAGAGATTTCTACAAGAAAATGTAGGATCACTCAAAAAAGAACCACACAATAACCATGAAGATGAATAAAAGATTAATCTTCGAGTCCACAAAATTATGAAGCTAGACCATTGCATAAGATACTCGTCCAATTGAAGAAGTAAGCAATGGATCGTAATACTGAACAATGAGCAATAAATGTAGATCGTCTAACCCAGTCAGCAGTTAGTGAGAAACACTTCATCGTTAAACTAAATAAGGTAGTTTACACAAGCGCGAATCCAAAATTGCTGAAAAGTGACTTCAGCTGGTTGACATGGTTATAAAACATCGCAAGATGTACAATTGATTACCTGTGCAAAAAGTAGCACTGAAAAAGTTATAATGTTGTCGCACATTGACAACATCTAGCAGGAATGAAGTTTTCACGGATACATGACTATTGGCTTAGCTTTCTTAGTGAACCAGCTCATCGAGAACTACATCGAAGTTTTCTAAATAGAAAACTTCGAAGTTTCCGTCTAAAAAGGGCAATACTAGATATCTGTTCCATACAAGTTCCAAACCACATGGAATTTTGTAATCTATGTACAGTATTCTTCCAGCGGCGCTTTGCCTAACTGACTATAATCGCCTGTGGAATACCCTCAGACGTCACAACAAGCTGACTTGCGCCTGATGTTGCGCTAGTGTTGTGAACTGCTTGCATGCAAATAACAGGGAGTGGTTGTGCAGGAAAAGTTTCCAATGCAGGAGGAGCATTGATGGAGCTAGCCGCTTCAGAACTCGAGCATGCAGACGACTGCGCATAAGACGATTTCGTCTGCGAAAAGTGAAATCGAAGATCTGCTTCTGGTCTGCGACATATTTTCCTTAGTGGAAGAACCTCCGACGTCCCATCATGTCGATAGCAGACCAAAAACCTACATCGACAACCTCTGGCGTCGTGCTTCCTTCGTTTGACCTCTTGCACATCCGCATCGAAGTGAAGAGCATGATCTGGCCTTTCCTGAAAGCAAAGAACAAGATCTCCAGGAAGGATAGCAACACAATCGGACGCTTCACATGGCAGAGACCTCTCTCGTAATGAGGTTCTGACATCCACCCACTCGTCATCCTTCGAACGGAATCCCGAAAATCTTACATGAACTTCTGGGCGGCCAGTTCTTCCAACTCTATGAGATAGAAATGTACCCACGTCGAACCATGCATCATCTCTTGCAGACTTTGCTTCTAAACGCATTCCGCGGGCGCGCACATTGGAAGACGGAGCTGACGAAGGGATCGGCATGATGGCGCTTGAAACGGGGGCTTTAGAACTGGATGCAGTAGAACGGTGTCGCAAGAACTTCATTCGAAGCTTCGCTTTCGATGACGCACTCTCATTGTGAGGCCGCTGGGAAACCTGTCTCCATGGCAGCACTCTCTCACCTTCCGAACCCTGATTGCCGCTCAACCTCTGCTCGAGGTCCTGAACGACAGAGCAAACAGGAATGCAACCATTGTTACCCTCCATCACTTCTTGCATTCTCGAAATTTCTTGATAGTTGAGTACGACCGAAGTGCCGTCTGTTCTCGATGGCCGCCACATTTATTTCTCCCCCCGGACGAGCACCGATTTCCTTCGAGAGGGAGCGCGGCTTTCTCCTGCAGTGTGGTACACTTACCGCCAAGAAGAACCCACCGCAGCAAGGCAGTGCAAGAGCTTACAGTTACGTCGAATGGAAGCTGCATGGCACAATGAAGCGTTTAGGGACCACAGACACAGACGCACCATTAGTCTCTGGGGTGGCAATCAAGGAAGATCCCTTGACGAGATTTCGTGTCTGCTTGAGACAGGCAGAAGACAAGCCCTACGATACGAGACCTCGAGGAAAAATTCTGAGCCGCTACTATCAGTCACATCGGACCGTTAACCGAGCCTATGATTTGAGCGGCATAACGTTAGTGGTATATACTTCTCTATGCGCTTTCATTGCATGCAATTACTGGTCACGTCCATTAGATTTAACCATCAAAATCACCATAACAGGAGTTTTAGCATTTCTTCTCACCTGGCCCATCTTAAAACACTTGCTGTAATATGACTGACCGTGACAGCATGACTTTCAAAGCTGAGTGTTCACAGATACAAGAGAGCTAAAATTCACATTCTGCACTTTAACCAACCCTGGATGTTTTCATTTGCCGAAAGTCAATTTCTGTCATTGATCATTACACTCCCTTATGTTGCATATCGTAGGAGAAAGTCAATATTCTTGTTAATCACTTCTGATTTTGCATGTGAGCTGGTGGATGGACAGTACGTTGTGACGAGTTAAAAAACATTGAATCGGGACTCGAAATTATCCTGCATACTTCTGGTCTGGTTGGTACAGTAAGCAGACCACTTCTGATTGACTGACCTTCCGAGTAGATGGCTCGGCTTTAACTAACGTACTAGCTTTAGAGAATTATGATTGCCTTAGTCCGTACGATATATATTAGAGAAAATCGCATGCATCACTGTTATGACGTTTTAACTGCGACACTTTCGTTGAGATTCTTTAGGCTATGTTGTTGTATAGTAATAATGATGTGATCACAATAGCAACGAGGCCTTAGTGGTACTTTACAATTATTATTCACTATAGTCACCAAGAATTTCCTTGTTTTATTACTCAATGAAGGAATCGTCGTGCTAGTATAGGATTCACAAATCACGCAACTCAAGCACGTGTTCAGAAAAATAAGCACACTGATTAGCAGGTGGATTTCGCAACCAAAAACGAGAATGAGCGAATAATGCTTGCTCAGAGACAGGACCATTTACGATTGCAGGTCACATGCTTCAGCCCTTTCCAGAGGAAAGACGCCAAACTTGGGAATGTTGAAAATAATAAAACTTTCCGGATCTAGAACGCCACATATAACGAACAGATTGACAAGATAGGGAAGATTGGCGTGTGAGAACACATCTCCCACAGCAGAAAATCTGTGCTATTAATAGTTTTCCACGACTTCTGTCTGACACAGGCGCTAGACATTCAGGTTGTCACGGAGAGGTCAATGTGTTGATATCACTTTCAGATCATGATACCACATTATAAAGCACGGATGTGTGGGAAATGTGTAATGTCATTTCAAGATCCAAAAACGAAATGATCTTAGAAATCTGATGAGATTAGAACTGGAGATCTTTCCCAGCGATTATTTTACGCTGTGTGTAAGCGAACATTAATTTAGATTTTTCTAAATTGATGCTTCATAACTAGATATTAAGAAGAAAGTTTGCTTCTCAGATTTAGAAAGTTCGACCTAGCTGGATTCATAGCAAGACACAGGAGAAGTGCACCCAACGAAAGCAGAACATCATACGATTCGTACTATGGAGCGAATTTAGGATGAATGTCTGATGAGCCAGCTTACAGATGTTGATAATATCATGAGTCTTTTTGGGGTCAGGACGCGAGCACTAAAAAGAGTGTGGGGGAAGCAACAAAATTTTTACAACATTAATATTATTTCCAATTATCCGTTTGTTTTAAATTGAAGAAGAAGATCGAGCTTTCAATTGGCAAGAAGAACTTTAGCTTCATCTCTGAAGGAACTGCGAAATGATTTTTCCTGGATTTTCAGCTTTATGTGCTCCCAAGAGCTAGAAAGCATTTGTATCTTATATTCTATAAGATATATAATACAGTCACGAAATTTGGCACAATATCCACGAATAATCACAAACCTGTGTGCTTAAAGTTGCAGAATATATTGAATTCTTCTGGAAATTCAAATTTTTTTTATATATATTACAACTTGAATATACGAGAGTATGTAAATTCTAATTCGAGGCTTTGATTGTTAAACTATTGGGCAAGTCTACAAGTCCAGAGGCATTCGGATGACCTTCAACAATCTTGAATCTGGTTGAAGCCAACAAGTCAAAATAAAGGAGATAATGCAAGAAGTGGGACAAAAAGCACAAGCTCGAGTGTAAAGCAAGAGGATATAAATTGCACTATTTCAAGTTCCAATTCTCTACTCTTAAAGATGAAATTTTTCGATAGCTATGTGAAAACGCTACATAACACAACTCTGCCATATTCAAATTAAGGTTGATTTTCAGAAAGACGAAGGCTAGAATAGAAAGAAACCAAACCAGTAAATTATGTAAAGTAGAGAAACCCAAAGGAAGTAAAAAGTCGAATAGATGGAGAGCTAGTATTCCTGTACGAGCTCAGCGAAAGCTTCTGATTCCGTATATTTATCAAGATCGGTGACAACTAAGAATCACGACAAGAAAGTGCCCAGCGTTTCAGTTTATCAGGAAGTTGAGATGCAAAGTCATGCTTTATGACTTTCAAGAATGAAACTGTAAGTAGTCTGACAAATTGCTGCTCAGTACGGACGTTCATGGTTATGCCTGGCAAATTTACAACATCTGAAATGGATATGCACCAAATTTAGCTTCAGCAGTAGTGAAAGAATTCTGGTTGATGTGCTCGGATCCCGAAAAGATTCAGCGTTACAGTTGCTCTATGAAAGCCAGCTTGGTGGAAAAACTCAAAATGTTCAAATCTGGCGAATGTAATCTCAGAAATGTAGATTATTTTATAAAAATTGTCCGGGATCTCTGTAAATCAAACACAAATTTACGTTACCTTTCAGAGCGCTTGGAAAACTCCACCGATGCGCCTGAATGTCAGAGGCGGCAGGCGCTCAACCAGCAGAGACGCGGAAGCAAAATACCCGCTGCAACTTTGGAAGAACGAAACGAATTTGAAATGGAATTGGAACGGCCGGCAACAGTCCACGTGTTTCTTGAAGTTCTTGAAATTCGATCATAAAACCATTTAATTCATCCTCGAATTCACTGGAGTTAGAAGAATTACGTGCACCACATGCGTGTTCTGCATCTGGGTTGTCATTTTCGGGCTGCGAATGGCTGTGTGGAGGGGCTTAGCACATTCAAAAAGTTCTACAGCTTGGATTGATGTCTGGAGTATGGGGTGCAGATTGTGGATGGAATATTTGAAGGTGGTACGGTCGTACAGCGGCAGACATCGACAGAGTTAAGTAGCATTGACAGAGACTAGCATGGACAGCATTGGTTGCGTCGATGGTAGTATGCAAAGGACTATGATGTCGCTCGGCAAACATGTGCTTCAAAAGCGTGCCTTGGAGATTCGGAAAGGTATCTATATTCGGATCTTTTGTTTATTTCTTATGGATTGTGTGTTCGACTGCATTAGCATCGTCCGCAATTTCCGGAGAGGAAGAATCTGAGCTCCGAATTTATGTTGGAGGTCGAGATCGCTGTTTTCATCTGTTTGATACATCATATTTACTGAGATGAGATTCGATTGAAGCGCATTAAGATACTGGTCAAATTTGTGAAGAGATGTCAGATTCATGTGATTTTCCCAAGATTGGAAAGAGCTCATCTGAAAATCACACAAGGCAAAGACAACACATTAAACTAGTGAAAGTCGAGTAGTAACCAGTTAGCCTTGATAATGAAGTTTTGCGATTACATTGGATACTAATTTACGACCCTAAAGAGTGTAAGTTCGGCAGTGGGTCTTACTGACCTTCGACTCTATCAAGAGATTGTTCGACTCTATCAAGAGTTTATTCGCATTTTATCCAACAGCTTTTCTTTTGATATCTAGAAGTTGTATTTTAATTATGCCTAAGTCTTTTTGACACACAGCTTGGCCATATCTTTCTTTTTGGTGCAGATGGTGGGATTATAAGTAGACATTTCAAGAACGACGGAAGTAGAAGAAAGACTGGTTTTACTGAGTTGCTTCTGAGCGTGCAAGGCGTCAAGAGAGCATTACCTATCTTGAATCCAAAAAGAAATTCTCAAAAGGTTACCTTCAGTGAGCTGCTTCGGAGAGTGCACGGTGGTTTGGCAGCATCCGTATCTTCCGATCACGTGTCTACCATAATTATACCACCTACCACACCAGACCCATCAACGGGATGGCCACTGGCAAGCCCAAGTTCTGTAGTCACCCTCGGCCCACAGCAGCTGCCCACCAACTTCATGGGTTCAGGTTATATGTCTGCGGAGGAGTCACCAGGAATGATTTATCCTTCGCGTCTGCCCAGCTTGTCACAACATATGATAGAAAGTTCAACTTTCTCAGCTGGAGAGACTACAGAAGATTTGGAGAACACAATGGCAACATCGAGACGAAATGCTCAAAGTGATCATTTCACAGATTCAAAACCTCCCGTATCTTGTTTAGACCTTATGCCTCACCGACATAGCCAAAACTCTCGAAAGGATTCCCGATGCAATGTTGCAGTTGACGCCCCAGCAGGTCACGATGAGCAATTTCCCTTGATCGACATGGAACAACTGGCCGTAGATCTTGAATATGATGTATACGATGATTTCATGCTCGAAGATGCATATAGAGATGAAGATCCTGATGAATTTTATGATTACCGAATGGATTACGCTAACATTACCAAGCGATCACAGCTGGATGATCAAGAATCCCAGGAATTACCTTCCTGGTGGTGTGCGGAGGAGGCTTCTTCGAAGAAAACATTATTTGATGTAAATCTTCCTCCCGATCGAGCAGAAAGTGCAGATGGATACGTGGAGCATGTCAAGCATTTGGGAGTAAAAGGGCCGCAAGAAGACGAACCTGTCAACGTCCATCGAGAAACCACATGTCCTCAGAGGCGTTGCAATGAACTATTACCCTGCGGAGTAAGAGTTAAAAGTGAAGGTGGGGATGAAAGAGGCCCAATGATGCATCACGAGGACTCAACTAAACGCCAAAGACTCGACATTGACATGGAGCGGGCATTGAAATTGGTACAACATTCAGAGACCTTTAAGGAGAGTTTGAAGGCACTTCGTGATTATACTGAAGCTTCTAAGGATAGAGGATGTTTTTTCCTTCCACAAGTCTTGGCAGTTGGAAAACTAGAAAAAGAAAATGCAATTGTACCAAAATTTTGCAGTGCTCTGCTAACCCGTAAACCCAAACCAGTTGAATTAGAGTTTCCAGATTCAAGAGATTTTGACAGGGCACTGTTCCCGATTAAAGTGGAGGTGACTTCCGATGCAAGGGATCTGGTATCGTGGAAAGAATGGCATCGAGCTTTGAAGTCTTCGAATGAAGATCTGGAGTATAATTGGAAAGTGCAAGCAGCACTAAAAACGCTTGAACGAGTTTGGACGAAAATTACTAAAGACCAAGACAAGGACCGCAATCAGTTATCCACAGATAAGAATAGCCCAAATAATTTGCATTTGAGTATTGCTTCCAGACTCAGACGTGATGGACTTTGGCTTCATGAGGAGAAGAGACCTCTTGGACATTGTCCGGGAGTTCCAGTCGGGGCATGCTTCATCTATAGGATCGAGATGGCACTAATTGGACTTCACCGTGCACTTCAAAGTGGAATTGCTGTCGTACCTGCGGATCGCTCGCCCTACGGAAGACCTGTAGCATCGAGTGTGGTCTTCCTTGGAAGCAAAGGTGTGTATCAGGATGATCAAGATATGGGAGGAAAGATTATATATAGTGGCCATGGCGGATTAATCTGCGGTAAAAAAAGTGAATATCAAGACCAAAAATTAGAGAGGGGCAACTTGGCTCTTTCAAATAGCTTCGAGCTGAAAGTTCCTGTACGAGTGATAAGGGGCCACAGGTTCCACAACTCTAGATCTGGAAGACTTTACTCTTATGATGGACTGTACAGGGTGACTAAAGTAGATTATCAGACCGGCGTTCATGGGAACAAGGTCTACCTGTTTACAATGGTGAGGATTCCGGGTCAAGGGCCGATTCCAGTTGCAACCAGGTCTGCGCTGTTGTATAAAGGAGAACCTGATACTGATCATTATTACCCTTCACGAGCCAGGAGAAGGTACACCTCATTCTTCATACAGAATTAAAGACAAACCATTTTTGTCATGTTAATTGAAGTCTTCATAACATTTGATGGAGGTCACTAGTAATGTCTATCTGAATTCAATAAGTGCTTTCTTCATTCAACAGAAACGAACAAACATCGAGCATGCTGAAATTGTAATCAAAATCGTGGTCTTAGATTGATGTTTTTTATTAAGACAGCCTATCCCTTCATCTGGAACAGTAACTTGTAACTGTCAACTGATTATGCATTGCATCTTGTTTCAGCCGGAACCGTAGAATCCGAGGCTCACAAGGGAGGTTGGCAGCCTCTGGATCGAGGTCTACAACTTGCAAGCCAGAATTTACTACAACTGGTGATGAAATGGCTATGCTGCCTCCAGCACATATTTCTGAGAAAGTATCTACGTCTGTTCCGTATTCTGGTTCTGTGCCATCTCTATCGCAGTTCGCAATTCCCCAGCAAGATTTTGCGGAAAAGTTTCTACGAACACCCAAAGTGGAGCGAATTTAGGCTTCCAAGAACAATTCTTACCTGCTTCACTGATTTCTGTTAGTTCTTATTACAACTGAGGGCAATATTTGCATTTAAGATTTTCTTAGGATCATCATCTACATTATGTGATTTAAGTGGAGCAAAACAATTCGGAGCCAGTAAAGTCGGTCAACACATCTTTAGAAATGCTGAGGCAGAAGGATGTTCTTGAGCTCTCTTTACAGGATTTCAAATAAAGTAGAATATAACCCAGGCCCCCGTGAAAATAAGTGTCGCTATATCACTAAGTTCTCTAATGCTCCGAACGCATCAGTGACCAGGTTAGCTTCACTCACCGTAGAGATGTTGCTGTAACTAGGGGATGGAGAAGTGCAAGTAAAGCTCAGACAGTGACGATTAAATAATGCTCTGTGCTCATTCGTTTCTATTGATTTTCATGTGTTCATCCTTCTGTGAGTTCCAATGAAGTCTATTTTCAGTTCATAGATGCTCTCCATGCTCAAGATTCAATCTTGGGTGTCTAAGTTTATACTTACTTCAGAAGTTCATAATATAGTTCCTTTGTCATGGATGGCATTCAGTGCTCATCAAGTACATTAGGCTTGTGAGCGTAAGCATCAAGCTTAGTGAGAACCACCCTGAACAGCAGCAAGCGTCAGTAGCAGCAGACAAGAAACAGAAAAGGCAAGTAGAGCGCAAAGAAGGCGGTGGTAGGTCGTAAAAGCGCTCAGACCGCGAGAGCTGAGCTGCCTTGAAGTGATTTGCATTTTAAGATTGTTGTGCTGAACCAAAATACCTTTCATCTCCTGCGTTGCCCTTTGCTCGCACAGACACAAGCAATCGTGCTCTCGCCACCGTTCGCGTTTGTCAAAGTTTTTTTCAACATGTGACCAGTCTGCTGCCAAGCACTGCCAGTGTTTTCTTGTATTTGACGGCTATGGACATGTGTCAAGTCTCAATGACGATTTCCTCATAAGAGCTACAACTCTATGGTGCGTTTGTGTTACTAGAACGACATGTGCAACGACAGCGCCACAACGCCAAAGAGGGAGAGAGAGAAGGCTTTCGTTTTTATATGCGTCGTGTTCTTCGTAACAGTTACATGTTATCTCGTTTTTGCAAGGGATTCTTCTTTCTCCAAGAGTTGATTGGATCCTGAGCTGTACGCATCTGGAGTTTAGTGAGGAGAGAAGAGGAAGAGACACTTCCGAAGGTTGGTTGGCACATCGAGAGATCTCAACGGATTCTATATTGCTCACTCAAAAGAATCTACCTTGTCTTTTCTCTTCTAGATCTGGGAAGATCCGTACATACTACAGGTTGTTTTGAACCTCTACAAGAGAACACACTTATGCCGATATTACATTTTGTATAAATTATGTCAAGGGCCTATAGCACTTATTCGAATCTCATATTCCTGACATGTACATAATTTTCAATATATATTTTTCCAACTTACAATTTCTTGGGTTTTCGGTGAATCCTCTATTGTCGATATTTCTCCACCAGATAAGGCTATTTATGATACCACGCAAAATTTTGTGGCATTTGTAATTTGATTGTGCAATTTCGAACAACCTTCATCAAGTGTTGTGATATATATATCATACTCTTGAAATTTATCCTTCAATCACCAATTCTACCCAAATTTTTCCATTATCATGTATATGAAGATCTCCGTATAAAATTTTTTCAAAATTTTCCAACATTATTTTCAACGAGTTCTAATTTTCAAACGAAAATGTATTCACAAATAAACTTTGTGAATGTCTGTTAGGAAAAAATTTCTATAGCCAAATTTATATGTACTGCATCAATTGAGTTACCATTTAATGCCTTTGCCTTCACATCAGCTTGAAGCAATCAAATCGCACTAGACACTTATCCAAAAGAATAAAAATTTTGAGCCTAATTTTAAAAACTTTTATCAAACAGCAAATATTTGGTCATCATCTTTTCACTTCCACCTATCAATGATTTCAAATGAAAACATTACACTTCGGAATTTTTTTCAGTTTATTTTTGACATTAACATATTTTAATTCCTTATTCGATTTTTTTTATAATTTTTTTTAAATTTTTGTATCATCAATTTGTAGAATTTTTTTTATAATTTTATAATCAATTTCTATTTTTTATTAAAGATCATATTCCATGCTAAGTTTAATTCAAATGTACTTCACTTGATATCGTTTATTGTATTTATTCTCTTTCACATTTAGTATAAATAGTTTATCATCACTTGGTTACACTTTCTTTATAAAATTATATTCTTATTTCTTATTGTATTGTATTCGTCATTGTATAATCATTTTACATTGTCTTAGTTTCAATTTGATTTTGTTATTCAAAATTAATTTCTACGAGTTGTGATCATCTGTAGTCTTAATCTAAACAAACAAACAAGAATAAACATTGGCAAAGCAGTCCCCTTGACAATGATTATATCATTGTCAGAAAAAAGAGTTGGAAGAGTCATAACACTAGCAGTTTTCAAATACCCACAGTTTTCTTACTATCTTTCAACTTGCTTCGTAGAAGATACGCTCATCAACAAAAACACTTTAATTTTTAATGATAGATAATTAATTAAAATTTAAGATTTAAAATTGAAAAATTCAAAGTTTTTAATTTATGCTCTTTAGAGGTTGTTTTGAAAATGATTGATGCGATTCAGATTTACTTTACTATATGTATGATGGATTTGTTATTATCAAAATGATTTATCATTTCAAGCATTTGAAGGAATATAAATGTTTTTATGCAGATTAAAGTACGTTTCTATATCATTTTCAAAAACTATAATGTGTAATAATTATTTGAACAAGATCAAATATTAAACAAAAAAACTGAATTTTTTTTAACAAATAATAATATGAAAACGATATTTATCTGTCAAATATAAATAATATATTTATAAATTATAAAATTCAAATTTGAGTGACTTGAATAAAATTTTTTTGAATTAAAAAATCTTTGATCATGCATTGAATTTGCTAGAAATGGCTCCGATCGGGTTCGGGTAAAACCCGGAAACCCGAGTTTGGGTCGGATCAGGTCCGGGTTTGGGTAGAGGGCTATACCCGACCCAAAACCTAGAGGGTAAAGTGTGATAATGCAAGCAAATCGATTAGCTGGTGGTGACCGCACTCCGCAATGCCATCGAAAGCGGACGCTTTTGAATTGACCTCCGAGCGAGGTCGCGGGCTATGGCACCGTTGTCTTGCTCCGGATAGTCATGCACGCACGCACCGATCAAGGCCTCTGGCTGCGTCGCCATCAATCGATCGAGCTGCGCCTGGCAAGCGTTAAATCTTCAAACGAGCGCAGCCCATGGACTCTGATCACTCAGTCAATCGGTTGCTGACCTGCCTGTCGCTCAGAGCGCTTCTACCACAAGGCTCAATGTGGGACAGCAGTTTTAACTTGTTGGCGGGATCAAGCAGACTGAAGCAATACCACCTCGTTGTGTTCTTCTCTTGAAAGCGAAATGCTTTGGAATTTTTCAATCTAAGTTTGATACTGGGCTTAGTGTCACTAAGCTGTTATGGAGTGCAAAGTCGTTATATCTTCGTTCAATTTGTGACAAACATTCATGAGCATGAGAAGGATGAGCACTGGCTGCATTTGTATTGACTAATATTAGACAAAAAAAATACGTCTCTACCTTGTCGCTGTTCCAAAATCAAATATGCAAATGCGTATTAAAGACAGGCCAGGCAGAGGATGTAGAATTGATCGGCATCCCAGCAGAGGCTGCGGGCGGTACTTGAAATATCTACCCTTGTCAAATGTGTAGACTTTGAAAGCAGCGTCTACGACAGCGTGTACATGAGTGAGCAGCCAGCCATGAGCACATTTCGTTAGCGCTAATCATGGGTCTCTTTAGGTGTCAAGATAATGCACGAAAACATCTCCGGCAGACTCGAGGAAGAATGGAAGAAGAATTGGTTGAACTTTCAACCGATTCTTGAGGTGCTTCCAGTTTCCGGATTCGACCTGGATCCAATCCGAACCCGACCCGGTTTTTTGGGTCGGGTTTGGGTTGAAGGTCGAACCTGACCCGATCGGAGCCCTATTTGAAACCGATGAGTTTCAAAATTCTAAGAAGATTAAAAAAGTCCAACATCACATTGATAGCTTTAGTGATTTGATTTTTATTCTTTTATTTTTTGATATGAAATAAATATTTAGATTAAATTTTTAAGCATTAAAATTTACATAATTTTAATTATTTATATGAATTTTGATTTATCACGATAACAGTAAAATGTGTGTACATTTATACAATTATTGTTACTTTGATATATATATTACAACACAAGAAGAACAATTTTCTTCATAATTTTATTTACATTATATAGAATTAAGATCCTTACAAATATGTCATATATATATATATATCTAATTTATGATTATATTAATTATTAGATGAAGTATATACTACTCAAATTGTGTAATATTTTTCTAGAGATGATAATTTTTTGTCATATATTATACTTCTATTTTGGGTTAAAACATTTATCATCAATTTGACTTTAAAGATGATAATTTCATCATCTGTTAAATTATTGTATAGCTTTTATATTTACTTGCTATAAATTGAAGCTTGATTTTTTGACAAATTTTCAGGTTTTGTTATCAATAAAGAATTGCATATCTCACTCCATAGCAATATTTATTACTCATGTTACTCATCAATAGAGCAGTGAGCTTGTCCAAAAAACACATTTTTTCTTCTTCTAGTATGACAACATTATCATTATCATCATTCATATCAATATCATGAATTTTTATAAAAAGCATGAATTGGCCCATTTTTTTATTTCGCACTAGCTTTATTTATCCAATTTGATTGTCCTCTAGTACAAAATTTTGATTAATTACTATTTTTTGATGTAGAATTTTGAGTTTGATTAGTAAAAATTAACTCTTCTAATCCAAGCTTTAATCTACTTCATTTTTACCCTAATATCTTCTAGTGTCGCATCATTAATATTACAATGATGAATCTTACTCTTAATAACATCAACATAATGACGAATTTAGAAAGAAAAATTTACTAAAAAATGATGATTTGTCACTAGAGATGGTGAACAAACACTGTAGATTCTAAGTTATATGATAATATTTGTTGTGCATCACTATCTATCGTTTAACATATATTAGATCTAAAATCAAAGAAAATTTTAATTATATATTACTTCTAATATGTGATGTTAATTGCAAATGTGTATGCAGGTTAAATTAATCCAGCATATAAGAAGGTACTTTTTTTGGTTTCATTAAAAGATGAACACAATAAATTAAAACCATAAGGCTAATATTCAGAAAATATAAATTTCAATTCGTAGCCATGAAACATGTCCGAAAAAAGTTTGAAATAGTTATTCAGTTAATGATTTATAGCACGATGTAAAATCAAATATCTAACTGATCGAGTAGAAGAATTGAAAATCCAAGAATTGATTATAATTTTGTAAAATATTCTCACTTGAATCAGTCCCTAGTTAGAAAGCTTTGAAAAATAATACCAACATAGGAACTGAGTTGAGCAATCAAGGAAGTTACACCACTAGGTGCCCTGAGGATGGTCAGGGCGAAACAGAAAATAGAGCAACCACGGGAAGTAACCGCTTCACATTGTCCAAGAGACGATGCGCGGGCTCAGAGGTCCCGTAGTAGTGAAGGAAAGGAAACCCAACCCAGCCAGGCTACGAAGGCGACTAGTCATATATATATATATTGTAGTCTGATTTGAGATGTTAAGTTTGGGAGGAGGGTTGATTTTGCAGAAGTTTTACTTGCAACATAGTTTGACTTCTATGACTCATGGTTGATTTGATTAGTATTTAATCAATGATGAACATGTGAATGGTAATACAAATCCGATTTAATCTTGCGCATACACAAGTCAAATTTAGATCTGTCAGCATCTCATGCGTATGTAAATCTTACCAGTTCCATATAACCAAATATGAAATGAAATAAATGAGAAAACACTCAAAGCTCCCTTCTCACTTTTTCTTTTTCAATCTTCAAAATGGAGCTTCAAACTCGGGAGAGAAGAGCAGATATTTTTAAATCTCAAACACAACGTTCAAGACTCCATAGGCTTATACCACGACCTTAAAGAAAAGGCTGAAGTTTGTCTAGTGATACTCTTTGGCATGTATTCTTGCAAGGAATAAAATTGTCTCTCTCTTATAGACCAGGTCTAGTCTTCATATTTAACCGAGGCTCAAATTCCAATCCATGCAGTCAACGTCACTAGTATGATCCGCGAGTGCTTACGATTCGACAGATTTATTATTTGGTGGACTCACCGAGAACAGGTTCAGATGAGCACCGCTGAGTTCTCTGGTGTGGTATTTTCAAGAAGATCTGGTCCAGCACAAATTTGAAATCAGTGCCATACTCCATGCAGATGTGTCTCGGAAGTCACCGTCGACCTTATCTCCTCAACCAATCACCATCGAACCATGAGCCCGATCTGCTCCCGATTTCCTAGTTCTCGAGCCAATAACATTCGTGGCATCACAGAAGGAATCATTGCAGGTGGTTCAAACATCCACTATTTCATATTCTTGTCCTCGTCAAGACAGAACTTCGTCAGCCCGGCAAATTAGGGTCATAGCGTGTTTTGAAAACCATTTACTGATCCTAATCCCGTAGTAACTGCACTGGCCTCCATGAAGGAAAATAGATTCTCAAGTAAATTGTGGACATGAGGGGATGAACAGCATTAAATGCTCGAGCGGCGTTGACAAAAGTCAGAGACCTCGGGAACAATCGTCGGTGACTCTGATCATTGTTGACTGGGAAAATTCCGGTTACCTGTAGCGGTAACCACCTTTGACAGAATCAGCACTGTTTTGACGTTCCCAATATTGTAACTGCAAATTTCCGATGAACTGTAACCGGTCGTCGAGAGGATTTTGGCGGACATCGTTCGTCGTTCAGGGAGATCTCACGGGGCCGAAATGTCGAAGTCCCACACATCGGTCCTCCTCTGCATGACTGAGCAGGTCCACGATGCGAATGAGCCTCAGATGAGTCAAAACGCAAAGCCACCGTGACGGCTTCACTCTTCCTCCCGCTGTTGGTGCATCTCCAATCCGAGCAGGTCCTGGTACAACAGACAGTCCAGAAGTACCTGATCTGTACGTGCTATCACCCTTCGTACCTTCTAAAAGCTCCGGTACTTCAACCCGGCGACCTTCACTCGCCACTGGACGCGAGAATCGAGCTGCTCATCATGCTCATCCCTCTGCTCGCTCGGGGTCGCCTCCCCCGAATAAGTATCGAGAGGAAGGTACGCGCATGTACCTTCGAGGACCGCAATGTCCCTCTGACGCTCTTCCACACAGCTTCGCCAGAAGGCTCTCGACCACGTTCACGGTGCTGGCTCTCGTTCGCTTGCAGGTAGCGGAGCGGGGAAGAGAAAGGCGGAACGGGGACAACTTTTTGTGGCAGTACGGGTGGTATTTGTGTCGGTACGATGTTCTGATGCTCCTCCAATAAGGCCGGAAGCGCCTGCACTGAAGAGAGCCTTGGCATGAGAGCCCCTCCCTTGAATACGAGATGGAGCTAAGGTGCAAGTAATCTGCGGGCAAATGAAGTGGAGGGATTCAGCGGAAAGGCAGGTAGCTATCGGTACCTTCTCTCTTTATCTCTCTTTCTCTCTGTGCTTGCTGGTCTGAGCGGTAGCTTCGTTCACACGACGGGCCCTCATGTCCATCTGCTCGAGCTTCCCGGGCTGTTTACTACCGATAGCAGGGAGGAGCTAGGATATGTCTCGCCTCATAGGTCTGTGTGCTTGGGCGAGGTCGTTCGCCTCGCCTGATCAGATCTGCCTACAGTTTGAGAGGTGGCTATCGAAGTTTTCTTCTCACCTGGAGTAAGGTATCAGGCATGTCAATCATCGCGCTACAGCTGAGGAGAAGCATCGACTTCCACCGAGCCTTCCCTCTAGGAGCGGGCTGCGCAGGAAGCGAAGCCGAGTGAACAAATTCGAAGGTCCGAGATCAGTTTTAATTATATCTCCGGATCGCAGAGTACTCTGCCGGTGAGGCCCCTGCAGAATCATCTCTCCTGCAGCTTATGAGTTGACTCGCACCTGTAAATATTTCTCCTCCCCTCTCACGCATTCCAGCGCTGTCCACAGTGTCGACCATGCTGAGCGGCTCAGACTCGTGATTTCATCTCCCCGCCCCATCGCGCTGCTTGATTTGCTGGCCCTAGCCCCGGTGTCGATGATGGCTCTTTACCAGCTCGAGGATTATACAAAGTGCCTCCTCATCCTCAACTTCATCCACCCGCTCGCAATTTTTTCCTGTCTCGTCTTGATTCTGTACCTCTTCCGCGTGCATGATTTCTCTTCATCTCAGTCGTGAGTTGCATCTTGAGCCAGAGGTCCGCGCTGACTTGCCAAAGCCCCGTTCCATTCTCAGCATTCATCCTCCGCTCAGCGCCGGAACACTCGGTGCGCTCGACATCATCGTCATCGTCCTCTCGCTCTTCTTCTTCTTCTTCCTCCTCTTCTTCTTCTCGTCGTTCTTCGTCCTGCGGCGGGCGGCGTCCACGCTGGCGGCGAGAGGAAGGCAATTGGCGATGGACACGGTCTCGAGCACGCCCCGCAAGCCGAACACGTGGCTCCTTCTGTGGTGCAGCGTCACGCTGGCGCTCTTCTGCCTCGCCTACATGTCGGGCATCGACGAGATCCTGCCGAATCACAACATCAGCCCGCTCTGGGCCCTCACGTCGCGCCCGTACCTGGCAGCGCGTCCATCCATCGCCGGCGAGATGAGTCGGCCCGAGGTCAGCAGCGCCATCGAGCCAGCGTGGACCCGGACGAATGAGTCACAGGAGTGCGAGCTGCCGTGGACGACCCTGGCGCTTGACGAGGCCAGCCTGCTGTCGTGCGCCGCTCGCCTCGGGCGCCAGCGCCAGCGCCAGGACGGGCTCGTCCCCAAGCCGCGAGTGGCATTCCTCTTCATCACGCGCGATCGCCTTCCCCACGAGGCGCTATGGCGCAGATTCTTCCGCGGGCACGAGGATCGGTACTCGGTGTACGTGCATTCTCGGCCCGACTACGAGTCCCCAAGCGAATCGCTGTTCCACAACCACCATGTCCCGAGTGAGGGCGTCCGGCGGCTGTCCATGAGCCTGGTCAGGGCGATGCGCCGGCTGCTGGCCTACGCCATCGTCGATCCCGACCACGGGCCGTCCAATTCGTGGTTCGTGTACGCCTGCGAGGCCACCGTGCCCATCCGATCATTCGACTTCGTCTACGAGTATCTGACGAACTCGCAGCAGTCGTTTGTCGAGTCGTTCCTGCCGCACCGCAAGTACTTGACGTGGGACACGGAGCCCGAGTTCCGCAACAGCAGCCTGCGCAAAGGAGAGCTGTGGATGGCCGTGCATGCTCGCCATGCCGTCATGATTCTGAACGACACCACCATCTTCAACAAGTTCAACACCTCCTGCAAAGCATGGTGCGGCCCCGACGAGCAGTACATTCAGACTCTTCTGGGTCAGTACCGTCGCAGAACCTCTTTCCAGCATTGCTGCGGTGGAATGTACAGATCAGTTTCGTGGTGCCGTCTGGGCTCATTGTCTGCTGGCACTGCTTGGATTGATTGCTTGTGATTAAGGCTCTCCGTCGTATCATTTAAATTTCTGGTTTGATCCGGTCATTGTGCAAAGTTGCCTGTCGTAGATCACTTTCATGCTCTCTACTGACTATATTGCTGGCTGATTTCACCGTTTCCATCGAGCGAATTGGCTACGGTTGCGTCAAAAGAATTGATTGCTCGTTCATGAGAGTCTACATCAATTGAAATGTCTGTCGGCTGCGCTGAATACTCCTATGCTTCTGCTGAATTTGGCTGTCTCGGACATTAGACATTGGGACATATGAGTCCTGCTGAGCCAATTTTATCGGAAGCTGTTACTGACGGTTTCCATGGTGTGCTTCACGCTTTTCTGCTCTAGGACTCCTGGACCCTCAGGGAATATCAAATTGGACGACAATGTACGTGAACTGGACGCAGCCTCATTGGACGTCGCCGAATCTGCTGGGCGCCGATGTGATGACACCGGACTGGTTCAAGGACATTCAGGGAAGGACGGTTCAGACCGACGGCATGTTCCACGACACTTCGGCCGTCGCCGAGGAGCAGCACTGGCGCAACGTTTCTCGTGATTGCGTCTACAATGGTGTTTCGAATTCCCCTTGCTACTTGTTCGCGAGGAAGGTGGAGGCCTCTGCGAGCGCCGACCATCTGCAAAGCCTGCCCTCCTCTGTTCTGGGATACTGAGGTCAACCGGTCTAATGCGAAATTCAGGGACCTGTGCTGGTGCAGGAATTTTTCCCAGCCAGGCTCCCATGCATATCCACGTTCCTCGCTTCCGTGTACATAGGTTTGCAATCAAGAGCGTTTGTGTGCATTAGAAGACGAGATTCTGCTACAAGAAGCGATGGCTGCGAATTAGTCTCCAGAGCTTCTCGGATACATCGCCACGGAATTCCTGATAGACAAGACGAATTTGAGGCCATACGAGGTGACATAGGCTAATGATATCGGGGTTTTCCCGTGCTTCCCTCTCGAGAATCGTTTGCAGGCGATCGTCATCCTTGGCAGTTACCTCGTCTTTAACTTCTCGATTGTTGCTACGATCGACTGAGTCAGAGGGAGGATAGTATCCGGATTTGATCAATTAAAGTCAAATGTGGTTAGTTTTAGCCTTTCCGACTTGTACCGCACTATACACTTTCATGTATATAGAGGGCATAGCCTCCACTGTGCTGACACATTATTTGAGAGAAGAGATTCGTAGACATTTTGTTTGCCACTACATCTGCATCGAGTAATTTTTTTGTAATGCTCAACAGAAACGAAAGAGTAATATACTCAATTCAAGTTCCATGTGTCCAAGTCCCAAGCCTATGGATCCTATTTTCAGTTTGGATGGGGGATTCTTAACCTATTTTCTATGATTTCTATGATTCTCGGCCCTTCTCTCTCGACTTGCAGTTTGGAGTACAAAGCAAAGTAAAATTCGGCTTTTCCTAGGTACCGTGGATACGTCGTGGTTTGAAAGTGTCGTTCCCTCTCTGCCCGATTGGAGCGGTGGTTTTTGTTACTCCACCTTTGTGGCTATCCACTGATGCCATGTGAACGTTTCTTCAGCTTCGCACCAACTGTTTACACCTTTCAAACGCAAGAGAATCTTACGCTCCGACTGGAAACTACAGGAATTTTAAAAGGCCAGCTGGGGTTTTGTATGAGTCACAAGTCAAGAATCCTCACCTCTCCACAACTGGGTAGTCCAAACATGAGCTCGATAATACGAGCTAAGTGCGCCTTCCTATGTGCTGGAAAATATCCAACAGATGAACCGTCCTCAACATGATGTATCGGTGGAATAAATTATTGGAGCAGACTGACAGGTTGTTTCTTGTTGACAATATTTTGCGGTGCGTCTGGACGGGTGGCGTGGACAAGTGGGCATATCCACGCTTTGGGGCTTCAGAAAATTCCGTACGTTCCATGCATGAAAGTAAGGCCTTATTTGAGGTTCATATCCAGAAAGTCACCTAAAGGTAGACTTGCACAAACGTAATTTTTGCATCTCTACAATATTCTACTAAACAACGATGCGATGAAGCCATTCTGAACAATTTTACTTTCAAAATAAATTGCTCTACGATTATTCGATATGCCTTCAGACTTTGCCAGTAGGGTATTACCTCTGGCAACCGAACCTGCCGAAAGAGGGTACATATATAAGCCTCTCCAGAATCCAGGATTTATTTGGAGAAATACTTACTGGTGAAAGGTGGAGGTCAAGAAAACCTCATTCTGACAACAGATCAAACCTAGAAAGTTGTCAGAGGTTGGAAAGCAGTGCTGACAACAAATGAATAAAACCTTGGAACACTACAGATGGATATTACCCAACACGTCTACAAACAGCCGAAATAAAAACTAAGAAAACCTGATAAAATATTCCCAAGTCACGTAACGGTTCTCTAATTGATGTCCATGTTGTCAAGAGTTGGTGGTCGCCCTCGCATGTTGGGTTCTTATCAAATGTGACCCGTAAGCTAATCATGTCAATATATATGCCAACTTAACTTAATTGACAGTCCACGATATCTCCAAAGGTCTATGATTGTGCACATGATGATGACGCAATAGAATTTCGCCTTGCATTAGATCTCGGTGCTTTCTGTTTAGAGGACCGCTTAAAGTGCCTGCACCAAACAGGGCGACCGTAGTCTCGTCAACTCACGTCAGCATGAGATGTAAGAATCTGGGCTACGTAGTGCTGAACGGAAACCTTTTGCACAGGATCTGCAATCATAATGCTGGTAAGTCGTGGCATGACCACTGTTCTTAGAGGGCAGCATTAGCTTCGATAATCTCGATTTGACGATCGTGGCTGTGATACATTCCAACCTGCTAGTGTGACTTGGCAGCTGGCTGGACACCACCGCGTCACTCGGATATTCGGAGCAACTACTGCAATGTCCGACAAATCCGTTAAATAGAAGACCAAACTGGAACTTATGTGTAGTGGAAGTAAGTCCATAATTGAGCCTATATCCGATTGAGCTTCACTCTAGGATGAATATTTTCTCGCGGCTGCCCGAGCTACTTAGTACATAACTCTCAATTTGCAAAGCCTTGCCAACTAGAGACCCAACAACATATTTTTTGTAAAGTTCAGCAATTGTTACTCCTTTCACTGACCGCCAAAGGCACGAGACTATAAAAAGAGGTGCGCAGCACTTCTTCTTGTAGAGAAGTAAGAGAACTGGCAATTTTTGATAAGATTTGTTACTTCTCGACTATTAATGAATAAGAAATAATAGCTTCTGCAAGGGTGGAAATCAATAGAAATAATTAAAATGGTCATGACCTACTCATAAAAAAATTGTTAACATACTTTATACAATTGAATTTTATGCACTCCAAGAATCTGTATAACTTTTGAATTTAAAAAGTCAATAGGGAATGAATTTGAAAAGAATTTGCATGTAGCCTTCCAAACTCAACAATTTGAAATAATGTATTTTATTTCAGTTAAATTTATTCGTTTAAGTTTTTTATATGTCAAATGTCAACTTGTAGACAATTTGAATTAGAAATAAATTATCAGATTTTTGAAAAATCAAATTATTAAACTTTTGATCATAATTAATGCCTGTTTTAACTTCTACAATAACTCCAAAGTAATATTTTTATAAAATGAACTACTTATTGTAAAATTTGGTAAAATTTTAAATCATGTCTTTGCTTGATTTTGAATTTTCTGGTTATTTTACTTTGTAATTCTACAATATTTTTGAAAATTTAAAGCATAAAGTGTCATTAATATCATTTTATTCTTAAATAAATATTTTTGTTACACTTGCATAATAAAATCTTGAGATAATAAATAAATTTCTTCAATTCAGAACTTTAGTATTTAACGTTTGTGTTGTTTTAATTATTTGAATGAAATATTCTGAATTTGAATCAAATATATGATGAATAAAGAGTTATTTTTTATTTGTGAACAGTAAAACCTGAGAAACTCAATGAAACATTTAAGCCAAGCCAAGTCACATACGAGACACGATGTAATGTGACTCATCCTCAAAAGGAAGGCTACGTCCAGCGGAAGAATCACGCGTTAAAGTTTACTTAGAAAGCATGTAAGTAATACACAAACCTTGGGATATAAATACCCCATCACCGAGAATCCTCATAGCTATTATTATCTAAGACCTTAGGTTACTCACTAACCGGAGTTAACCTCAACAATCTTCACTTTAACTTGTGTTTGGTAAACAATAATCTCTATAATCCATATTATTACTCTGTGGGAAATTCTAGAAAAAAAATTTAACATAAGACAACTCTTTACACAAAAGTTAACTAAACTAAACTGTAGCCATAACAGAATAAAATAATAACATAAAGAGATAATTGAAAATACTATGCTAACAAACTTTACATGTGCTCTCCCTGCATAATTTGCATTGTAACAAAGTGTACTCTGAAATTCTCCAAAGTAATAATTTTGATCACTGCATCAGTTGGATTGAGTATATCGGCAATTTTCACTAGCTGTATCAACATAATCTACCGTTAAGATTGATTAACTTAATCATCAAAATTTACCGTCAAGATTGACTAACTCAATCATCACCTCAAGAACTCTACCAATACCAGTGTTACTTTTTTTATCATTAATCACATAATGATCAAACTCCCCTCACATCCCTTGTAAAGAGTGGAGATTTTCACATGTTAGTAAAGATATCTTGAAAAAACTCTACTCTTTCAATGAACTAGGCTCATTGAAAGACACACACGCACTATTTTAATGATATGAATTGATTAAAAGTCACACATCCACTAACAATATCTTTACAATTTATTGACTGTTATCTGTGACAATCTCTCACCGTCGCCTGCGATTGACTGTCACCCATGAATGTCTCTCATCGTCGTCCGCGACTCAGAATCACTTGTGATCAAACTCTACCGACGCCCACGACTGATTGTCACCCGTGGCTTTTTGTCACCGTTGGCTAGACTAACTGCATTCGCAACTAGTTGTCACTCGTGACTTTTCCTCATCGTTGCCCGCGACTAGCTGCACCATCAACTAGTTGTCACCCATGACTTTTCCTCACCGTTGCCCGCGACTTGCTGTCACCCGTGACTTTTCCTTGTCGCTTGCAACTAACTATGCCCGCGACTGTTAGTTACCGTCGCCCGCAACCGTCATCGTCGTTCGTGACTTACTGTTTCCGTCGCCCATAACTAATTGCGCCTGAGACTGATTCTCACTATCGCCCACGACTAATTGTTACCATCGCCTGCAAGTGTTGTCCTCAACTGCTGTCATCGTCGCCTGCGACTGACTAATATTGTGCCCACAAGTGTTGTCAGCGTCTAAACATCACCATCACCAGCAACTACTTGTCAACATCGCTCGCGATCGTTGCTTGTGACTCACCATCAATTATCGACCATCATCATCACTTATGGACCGTCGCATCACCATCAATTATCGACCATCATCATCACTTATGGACCGTCGCATCACCATCAATTATCGACCATCATCATCACTTATAGACCGTCGCCGTCAAGCACCCGTTGACTACGGTTGACATGTTGACTGCAATTTCCCCCCTACCGTGCTTCATTCGGCCAGCTGTGGTTGTTTCGTCTACCAGGGTTAACCTGCTGACTAAAGTTATCTACCAACCACGATTGCCCACCTATTGTGGTTTTTCGTCAACCGCGGTTGCCTCGCTTACCAAGATAAGATGTTGGATCGCGGGGGTAGAGGATGATCCGTCAAACTACGCCACCCTGCTTTTTGGGTACATAGTTGCGGAGAGTCGCTCGGACCTGCCGTTGCTCTCGGTCCACGTTCAGGCCTTGCCGTTCGGGGAAGAGGACCAATCAAAATCACTCACCCTGCTCCTCTATCACTACGACCACCATCTATGACTCCGTCGGATTTGCCCTGCCAACCAACGGGCACTCTGCCACACGCCGATCTTCCTCCGGCCTTGCCGCTTGGGGCCCTCGTTTAAGATTCTCCCGTCTACACCTCCATAGACCTGCATCGGGTACCCATACCCGAAACCCAAAGCGTACCCACCCGAACCGATGGGTATGGATCGGGTTTAGACCAAGCTAGGAACAGTTTAGTTCGGGTCCGGATTGTACTTTTAGTACGATGGTATCGAGAGTGTTCGGTTTAAAAATGGATTGTTAGTTAAACTCAGTAAATTGATAGCGGAGGATTTCTCGACTACTTGTTCTTTGCAAATAAAAAACTGATGGATTTTTCCATGTTCTTGTTTCACCAATTT